ATTAATATACACCTTTTCCTTGCATGTAATAATGATAGATAACAGCCTGACTAGATTACATTTTGTTACTGTTAACTTAGCTCTATAATGGATTGCGTAATCCCTACTCTGTAATCAGTCAATCATTATACTGCTGTAAACAAGGAATTACGTTTTTTTTATCACTTCTGATTATAGTAATTCAGTATTAACAATTAACATTTAAGCCGTGATTTCTGTTTGATACTTGTTCTCATTTGACTATGGAACCCCAGCTAGAATGTTTTGTTTATGATAAATGTGTGTATATATATATATATATATATATATATAGTTAATTCTTATCATTATCTCTATCTAGGATGGTCAGACTGTTGCATTGAAGTACAAAGATTTAATCTCAAACTTTGAGTCTGTATTGGAACATGCATCTAGACTTGAGAACACAACTGCTCAATTTCCTATCATCATGGGTGTCAATGCATTTAGAGGTTATCTTGATGAGTTTATGCAAATTTACAAACCTGGTGAGCAGCCAACCCACTCAAAGAAGGTAATTTTATCATGTTTAACATTTATTGTAAACTATTACTGTAGTTATCCTGGTCCTGAACATGGAAAATTTACAACACGCAGATCAAACTGCGACAGGGAATAGAACGGCAAATGAAAACATACAACAGAAATAATTGAACAATATGCAACATTAGAAGTAAAACAAAAATAATGTATTGCTTATAATGTGACAAATAAACCACAAATAATAAAAATCAACAGTGAAGAATCATTTGAATATGGATTTTATTACAAGTGTAAATTGAGGGGTGAGTGGGTGTCCGGGCATGGGCTCTTACCCAGACAACTACTGTATATGCTGCTTTCAATTGTTATGGTTTGATGAAAACATCAAGGTAGCAAGAGGGAATAAACAAAAATACTATTTATTTTAAATCTCTGATTATGTTACATTATATTGAATTTTTATTTACCTTTAGTCACAATTTACTGTGCACATTTGGTATGGAATTTACTGTGCACATTTGGTATGGAATTTACTGTGCACATTTGGTATGTAATTTACTGTGCACATTTGGTATGTAATTTACTGTGCACATTTGGTATGTAATTTACTGTGCACAATTGGTATGTAATTTACTGTGCACATTTGGTATGTAATTTACTGTGCACATTTGGTATGTAATTTACTGTGCACATTTGGTATGTAATTTACTGTGCACATTTGGTATGTAATTTACTGTGCACAA